GCTTGTCACTAAAATAAACTTTCTATCAAGTGATTTGTCTGTGAATTAATTGCCAGTGAAGTGTTATGTCCATAAAAGGAGTGTCGGTGAAGTGAGAAAACCTAAATAGATACTATGTAATTAGGGTGCGAATTCAATCTTTAATTCAAAATAACGCACATGCGCGTACTCAAAATAACGCGCAGGTCAATTAATTAACGCGCAGGTGGGCGTTATTTCGCGCTTGTACGGTAGTTCCAAACCGGTTGGTAACCGATTACCCGAAACTAAAGTTTCTTGTGATCGGGTAACCCTAATTGGATGATCCGGATATTCGATTACCTACATTGCAGTGTCGAATGGGTAACCGTTTATAAAACGGGTGACCCGTTTGAGTTATATTAAACCGGTTTGTCAAAATTATGATCCGGTTTTTCGATTCGGTTGATCGGTTGTATGATTATCCGGATTGGATGTTGGAACCCATAAATATCGGGATGTAAAAAAGGTTACGTTATCAATCACATTTCTGCGCGTTGTTTCTTTGACAGAGCCTAATACACCTTTTTCAATATATTGTCTGTAAATAGATCAACATTGATTAAATCTACATTGAGACTATTGATAATAATAATAGTGAGACCGCAGAAATGCCTTTATCTTCTAAAGAAAAAATATATATGATTGATTCAATTTTTATCAGATACTGCACAAAATATTTGTCGAAACTCATCAGCAATCCGAAATTTAGCCATAAATGGTGGACAGATCGTTCGTTCTATTCAATGTGCAATCCATCTAGTCTATTAACAATTTGTTCCATGGAAGACAAAGTTTTGATTCATTATTTAAGCATTATCTCATTAGAAAGTATAAGTCTTTGGCGTATCTTTTTGCATAAGACTTAAATCTAGATCTTTTTTCAAGCTCATGCATAAAAGGCGTCGAGATCTATGCATAATCAAGTTGTGCGTGTAAATTGTAATTTAAGTGTACAAGCAAATTGAATCACTCATTCGAAGGCTGCCAATATTATTTGATTTCTTTATACCAATATAACAACCTAAGCAAGTTATGTGATTTTTTAGGTCAAAAATGTGATATTTGAAGACGATTGGTATCTGCGTCCAGGCAAATTTGCCTACAAATAACTTACGGCGTAAGAGATAATAAAATTTATGAAAATTTTTTTTAATAGGATTAAGTTATGTAATATAATAGAATTACGAATTAATAACTTATCATTATAGCGTCATTGTAACATAATAAAAAAATATCATAAAGGAGTCAAAATACTTGTGTTAAAATAATTATTCGTAGTAAATAACGTGAACAATTATAATATCAATAGTATAAAAAGATATGGACTTTTAATTATCATGCTTTAAGATGACAGACTGTCTAAATCCACCATGCCCAACATTTACTATTTCGTTAAAAGAAATTCTGGACGAAAAGCCCTGAACAACGCCATCAATAATAAAAACTGAAATATCCTCATATCTATTATCTTTGGTATTTTGTAAATAACAGAGTTCTTGCATTATCCATTCTTTATTGGAATTCATAATCTCTTTTAATTTGTCCTCCCAACTATTTTTAATATTTTTTCCCAATACAACTTCTTTACCTCTGCTTGAATCACCTGCTTTTAGAACTGCTTTATGTTGTTCTAAAAAATTAAGATTTTTTATCAAGTTATTTTTTGACACTACGTAAGTTTTAGGAATAGCGCCAGTTATGTCCCTATCATTCAGGATGGCTAAAAATGATTTGTCGCCAGATATAAACATACTTTCAAATGAAGGTAATTGTGGTAATCTTAAGTTGGATAGCTTAAGTATCAGCTCTGAATGATCTACCAATCCTGAATGGCATTTCCAAAATATTCCAGTAGGTTTAAATTCGATAATATCTTGGAAACCAACTTCAGTAAGATAGAAACTTTTTGCTTCTCCACCCATGCTCACAATTTGCTTTATCAATAAATCACATTCTGGAACTGGCACTATAATTATAATGGCTATTTTTGATCCTAATTTATTTAACACATAATTTGTATAAGACATTGTTGGAGGAGCAAGAGGAACACCAATTTTGTCAGCTGATGCTTCTTTCTCGACCAAGTCTGAAAATATCCAGCCAGAACAACTTCCTGTATTCAGCTCTAATATTTTAAAATTCTTTTCTTGATCCCAGGCGAAATCAAATCTAGCTAAATTTATCCCAGTTTGACCGTTTTTCCAGAGTGATTTAACAACACCATATCTTGACTCCATCCAAGATTCTACTTCATTTTGCTTTATTATTTCTAATAAAGTTTCATTAGCTAATTTAAAAATAGCTTCAGAAATTTGTTTTAATCTTTCTAATTGTTTCGGAGATAGTACAAAGTACGTATCTATGCTTGCTCTTGTTTTTAAAAAACTCAAATAATAATATTCTGTTCTTTTTTGTTCAATCATTGATTTATTTTCGGTTAAGGACATTAGCTTATTCATTTTTCTTTAATTCGAATGCTTTAATTGAAGTTGAGATTAATGGCTCTTTATATATAAATATTAATTGCGTTACAATTCCAAAATAAATTTTTATTGTTGGTTTAAGTTTGATTTTCAACCAGTCGTCCGACTTTTTTTCTTCTATTTTTAGTCTTTCATTAAAGTTCAATGAATATGTATGTATGTACGTACGGTGCAGAAAACCTAAAAACTTCAATCACTGTATATAGAATAAAGGTTAACTAACTCATTAAAGATAAACTAGATTTGTCATCTCAATAGCATGCTAATGCGTACATATTGTTTTTGCTTATTGAGATCGATAATCTAGGAAATTTATTTTCGATGTGCTACTAGTTTATGCATTACCTCTACATAGAATATTATACGTACGTACGTACGTATGTACGTATACAATTATAATGTTCGTGGGCGTAAACACAATGTTAATGTCGTACTTGAAGTTGATCATTACTTGAAGTTGTAACTTCATGCAGAGGGCACAGTATTGTGCTTGAAATTAAACTTGTGCTTGAAGTTAAATTCGTGCTTGAAGTTGTAAAATTTTCTATATAACAGATAATGAGTAAAAATTTTAAGTATAGCTGTTATCGTAATTTCTGAAACACCAGATAAAAATTTGCCAAATGATTTTTCGGCTGATTCGGTTAAGTTTGACCCTTACATTTTGGCGTAGAAGTGTGACGAATCATTGAATGACAAATAAACATTAACTAATTGATTCTATTATTTAATGCTTATTCGTCACGTAAATGATTCGTCACATCTCTACGCTCAATGGAAGGGATCACCTGGACGTGACTAATAAGCATTAAATAATAATTAATGTATACCTGTCACACCTCTATGCCAAATGGAAGGGTCATCTATAATAGACTATATACGTACCGATCACAAACATAATCGAATCAGCCAAATATCACTCGACAAATTTTTATCAGATGTTTCAGAAATTACGATAACAGAATAATATCGGATACTGTATATAGACTCATTTTGTTTTATTTACAGCTGTTTCATTATTTTTGGAACATCTGAAAAACTTTTTGATAGCCGAATCGACAATTTACCGAGTGGGAATCAATAAGTTACTGACGTCGGCCGACTTCAAAACTTATCGATTTGGTCATCAACAATTTTTCAAATGTTTCAAAAATAATGAAGAAAGCTGTAAACTAAATCTGGATTCAAATGATCTCACCAGTGGTGTTTGAAATTAGTGTTCTCAGAGTTCTTATGAGAACACTAAATTTGTGCACAGTATAAATTTTTTATTGTTCACTATTAAAGATTTTTTGAGAACAGTGAATTAATATTTGTATTCTTGTAAGTATTGTTGGTGGCAAAACCAACGAAACTCACTACTCCGAAATCGACGTCACGGGGTCCGAAAACGTGACGAAAAGACCCGAATCGAGCCCACGAAATCGGCAAGAAATTGTAAAGAATCTGGTTTGCCAAAGCCCCAAACAAATGCCAAGCCTGAAAAAGCCCCAATGGCATAATAATTCAGGAGAACGCTGAAGAAGCGTCAAGATGTCATGGTCGCATCGACGATAATCATATCGTTCAGATGGCCCCAAGACCACGGAACAATGCACTCCCCGGCTGTGGCGTAAGGAGAAAAACCATGAGACGCTCAGCAGGGCAAAACACTGACCAAGCATCGCCCAAAAAGGCTAGATGTGGCGGTGACATTTGCGGGCTTGGGCTTAGCTTAGATCTTAGATTAGAAGAATTAGATTAGAATTCGATTCTGTTCTTTTTTGGCCCCCCCCCCCCCCCCCGCATGTAAAAGTTAGTTATAAATAAGGGCTCTTTTCGCCCTAAAATAAAGGACAGACAGAGACTGTTTGCAAGATAATAATAAAGAGTCGTTTTTACCCATAATATATCTGATTTAACCTTTCCTCGCCAAATCTGAACCGCCTCTAACAATTGGGTATATTGTGGGCTGGTTGTGTGTGTTTTGGGTGGTGATTGGGTGATCCGCGTTTTGCCCTTTTGCCACTAACAGTATATAATAAGTAGCTACAGATTTGAAATGAAAAAATCCGCCACATTGTGAAGAAAATAATTATTAGATTTTGCTTTTTTTTTAATAATTCTTTTTCAAAAATATAATACAGTCAGACCTCTATATTAATCACACCTCTATACAAGCACTTAATTTTGTTAATTAAACTACTATAAATATATAGAAAAAACCTCTATATGAGCACAATCTCTTTATAAGCACATTTTTTAAAAAAGTTCCTATACTCCCAACTAAGTGATTATATAGAGGGTTGATTATATTTCATTAAACATGCAATTTGATGTATATTATATTTAATAATAAATATTGGCATAATCGTAAGTTTAGCACAAATTTTATGCTGAAAAATTTATACGTCTTGAGGTTCCAATCCCCGTATCTGATTATCCGGATAATTCAAATCGTTCAGATATCCGGATAATCAAACAGGTATTCGGATTATCAATAGTAAACGGATATCCGAATAAATTCAGATCTGGATATCCTATGGATAGATTGATAAACGGTTAATGGATAGGAACACCATTCGTGCGCATTTTTGGAATTGGGCCCAAATCAAAAACCCTGATTTACTATTTGATTAATTCAAATTTTTATGCTGAATTATACGTCAACAAAATGACGCATATATTAA